TTGGATATTAAGTACGAATATATGAAAGAATAAATATTAAATGGGATGAGTTTTTTTATTTCATTCTCAACAAATGATGTTTAGCGTGGGATAAGTCAAAAGGATTACGCTTTTCTGGAAAGGGCGTGTCTTGATTTTCTCGTTGTGTCTGTTATCCATCGATTTTCATCGGTTCTCATTCTAGCCGGCTTCATGGAGTGTCTAGCTTTATTCATTCGATGGAGGATCTTATCGTCATTTTGGTAATTGAGGATAGTCCTTGCAAGGGAGGGAACTAGGGAACTTACTTTTATCGTTATGTGCAATGTTCTGTTTTGTTTTCAGTGCGGACCTCCTCTCTCTCTCTCTCTCTCTCTCTATATATATATATATATATATATATATATATATATATATATATATATATATTGTGTGATTTGCAATACTTTTCATACATTACAGAGATCTATGTGTCGTGCCTCTTCAGGACGTTGGTGATCATGGCTCTCCACAATTTCCATTGCAGAGATACTGCCGGAAACCGGTATTTTGATCCCAAGCAGAGAAGACGATCATTTCGTAAATATTATCGTCATTATTGATGACTACCATGTCCATTTATATCGAAAATATATTTAAATGTGTGTATATAAAATAAATCCACACGCGCACACACACACACACACGTGTGTGTGTGTGTGCGCGCGCGCGTGAATAAGGGTATATATAAGCAGCAAGTATTCATTCAAACAAGTTTGATTAAAAAGAATCGACAGAGTCTGTTTAATTTTTTATTGTATTTTTCCAGTGCTGAGTATTGTGCTCGAAATGTTTCACGCTTAAACGCAATCTTCAGGCCATGTGTGTTGTATTTTGACTCGACTCTTTATATATGCTGGTCAATAATGCATTATGGGTAGAAGGTCTATTGTCCAACGTTAATTGGGTGGGCGGTAATGGTTATGTTTCAAATCATTCTAAAGGCTATTGAGTTAGGAATAATTGTCGACCCAAATACACTTATTTGTGGCTATTTTGTAGTTGTTGTTTGTTACCGTTTTACTCATTTATTATTGCTTATTTCTTCTTGATCATTATTATGATTATTATCATTATTATGACATTTAATTGAATTTATGTGAACATTCGTAGTTTGTTAATTTCTGTATCATTTATTTATATTTTTGTCTATTTTATTTGACTTATTTATTTTTATTTATTTATTATTTATTTTTTCGTGTTAGTCTTTAGTTTTCGATTTTAGTTTTTGTGTCTTTATTTTAAGATGAGTTATAATCATTTATTTGGTGGTTTGTGATGATCTGGGAATACAATGGGAGTTATTTTCTCTTCCATACAAAGTTTACAGGTTTTGGATTTATTGTTGTAGGCTGATGCTGTTCAAAAGGTAAGAAATAAACGTTCCAAGAACTGCCATTTTGTAGAACAAACTCCTGTTTGATTGCTTCTCTGAACATCTTGTCCTCTAAAGGTCAAGGGTCAATGATCATCTTTCCTCCCTGTTGTGAAAATTCTCATTTCCTAACATATCCACTTCCATTCATATCCACCTCATTCAACTTTGCCATTTTAACTCTAATTTTCTCTTTCAAGTGATTCTCGAGCTTTATATGTGTTTGTTAAGCTACGGCAATCCATATGAAAAATGAATTCGACGATCATTGTTCGTATTGCAACTAATCTTATTTACTGTCACATTACACTAATGCTCTTAGAAAAGGCAGGAATATTTGAGCTCTCCCGATATCGTCAGAAAAATGTTACATCCCTAAGAGTTGATAAGACAGTTTATGACAAACCACAGTTCCATAATTAGCTTTATATGTACAAAAGCAACAGAAACAAAAATGGTAGAATTCTCAAACGTTTTATTTGTAACAAATCTTAATTGGTAGACATTTTGTAAGAAAATTGAATTTGCATTAACCGAAAGAAAATGGCAAAATTTGCATTAACCGAAAGAAAATGGCAAAATTTGCATTAACCGAAAGAAAATGGCAAAATATAACTAATTCATTCCGTCTTTAATCAATTTATATGATGAATGAATCAATAGTGTTGTAAGCGCACATTTTAATGTTTGTATGATTTTTTTTTTTAAATCAGAAAAATTGTTTTGGTGGACAGGCGGATAATCACGGATATTCGCTAAGTTTGAGCCGCAAATCACCACATTCTAGGCTCAAAGTGATTCTTTGTTTACACTTGGCTAAAGATAAATTCGACAAGATACGAACTTGGAAAAACTAAAAACAATGGGAACAACACATGAACTCAACCTGGGATATTTTGCTACAGTTTATTTTTTTCTTTCAGCCCGTTAAGTGTAAATATAGTCAATCGCTTCAAGATCAAAATTCATCTCAATAAATTCTTCTTTAAGACACCTTGTCTAAATATGAACTTTCCATTTTAACATCAAATGAAGAACTAATCCATTCAAGAGTGTCCATGTTTACCACATCTTTGAATAGCGCTTTAAAGGCTTCTTGCAAATTCTCGAAAAATGTGACAGTGAAATTCAAAGGTGCAATGAATTAGCGAAAGATGTCTTCCAAAAGCCAAGCCAAGTATTAAGAAATAGAAAAATATCGTTAGAAACAAAGAAAAGAGCATTGAACTGTCATGTAATAATATGGCAGCGAATACTAGAAGATGTCCTCACTGATGAAGTAGAAACTTTAGGCAAGAGAAATGTGGATCTACAGAAATATGTTGAGAATACAATGGATGGCACATTCGAGTAACGAGAAAGTTGAAGGGAAAATGGAAAAAAAAAACACTTCTATTTAGAATCAAAAAGAGACAGCTGAAGTTTCTAGAAGATAAAATGAGAAAAGAGAACTTGGGGAGTTTGACACTCACAGGACACAGTGAAGGCAAACAGAGAGTGAGGGAGGAAAACAGAGAGTAACCTACGTAACGAAGCTCATGTAAATAGATGTCAAAACAGGAACTAGGAAGGATAATGAAAAGATAAACCTTACAAAGAATAGAAAGGATAGGAAGTTGTGGAGAGCCATTATTACTGAAGGACCACGACACAAAGAAGAAGAAGGTTTGTATAGATGAAGAAATCATTATCATAAAAATTTTGTAAAATACTAAATGCTGCGTCAGCCTAAATCATCACCCTGTAGACCCCTAAAATGTTATTCACCTTTGTTAAAATAGAGGTCTATATGACCCCTATTTTAAGAAGACCTGATTTATGGTAGACACTGAAACAAACACATGTATACAGACTTATCAAACTGGCTCAATAGGTGGAAGAATAACGATGAACTGACATACATACATACATTGTGGCTGTTGACTCACAAAGCGAGTATGACCATCACTGACATGCCCAGCCCTTCACTTAAATTCTTCCACCACAACACTGCATTCATCGGTTGTGTGAACGACAGTTGCTCATAAAGCAACATTGATCTGCATTTGCCACCTATGACTTTACATCTACCCAGAGGCCGCCAAATGTGTAGGTCAGCAGTTACGTACTTCCAGCCTGTCAGAACTGTACATGTCGCTGCATCGCCATCGGAGTTAGATTGAAAGAGAAGAAAAAAAACTACAAGCTAGCAAGTTGTCAGTAATGCCCGTGCGGGTTTTAAGGTCGGGTGTAGCTTGCAAAGTACTGCATCGACCCTCACCACAAAACCACATTGTCCACAGACAAGCAGTTGGAAGATATCTAGTGTGGTTATGAGGCAGGTTTTGTGTCAGAAAGCATTCAGGATTCTGTTCCCATTTATTTCAATCTATTCAAGGAGAATGCCAAAAAGGCTTAGGAGTTCTCACCCCCCAGTAGGCTAACCGAGCGTCTGGATATCAGCCAAAATATTTCTGTGGCCTCGAGCAGAGATTGCTAGATGGCTGTTGACCTCTCAAAGAGGTTAATTTGCACTTTGAAAGTCTTGCTTTTGTCCTGCAGGATTTCTAGCCACACACAACAGGTTTACATGATACCAGTAGCATCCCATCAGGATGACATGACATACATACATACATACCTTCATACATACATACATACATACATACACACGGAGATAAATAGATAGATAGATAGATATGTATGTATGAACTTAGATGTGTATGGGCTTCGATGTCGGTGGAAAGGCAAATAAATTTAAAATATTATGCCAAAACTACCTTGTGTAAATAATATAATTTTATTATTGTGTAAAATGTTATTTTAATTCGAAATGACGTGAGCTTACGGCTATATCAGTCTGAAACATCCGTTCTTGCAAGATCACCAATGTTAAGCAAGGTGAATACCAGGTGCTGTAAGCTTGGATATGCGAATAGTACAATGGATAACAGCTCGAAATCGGAAATCGGATTTACAATTCCAGTCGTGTTCGTTATAATTACTTACGCGTGAAAGGTATGAATCCACCTCTTCTCCCTCCAGCTATGGATTAATTAGTAAGAATTGTAACGGTAAATCACCATTATTGACAAAGCATTCTTACATTAAAAAAAATTCTGGCTTTAAATAACTTACATAAGCCCTAAAAAACATATCAATCAATTGAAACGATGTTAAAGTCTTCTCGGAAATAGAGATAGAGAGAAAGAGAGATTTAAAATAATAAAAAAAGGACTGAGAGAAGGAAGGCATAGAAGACAATAAGAGTAACAGATACAGAGAGGGAGGGAGAGAGAGAGTGAGAGAGAGACTGAATGATGGGTATATAAACTGGGATAGTGAGAGGTGTGATAAAAATAGGAGTAACAGAGAGAGGTGGATAAAGTGAGTAGAATTAGAGAGAATGGACGATAGAAAAAATAGAATATATATAGAGAGATTTAAAAATAGGTGATTATAAGTGAGGGGAAAACATGGATAGAGTGAAAGTTGAAAAAAGATGATGTAAGACATGAATTAGAGGGAAGGAGATGGAGAGAGAATTGGAAATTAAAGAAAGCTAGAAAAATATATACAAGTTTCTCATGATGTCACCTGCTTAAAATTGTTGCATATTTAACCCCAGAGGTCGATGTGAGAAGGCTATCTATCTATCTATCTATCTATCTATCTATCTATCTATCTATCTATCAATCTATATATCTTTCTCTCTATGTTAATTATCTATCTATATATCTATCTTTTTCTCTCTCAGTTTATATCTATCTATATATCTATCTATTTGTTTATATCAATCTATATATCTATCTATATATATTTATCTCTATGTTAATTATCTATCTATCTATCTATCTATTTGTTTATATCAATCTATATATCTATCTATATATATTTATCTCTATGTTAATTATCTATCTATCTATCTATCTATCTATCTATCTATCTATCTATCTATCTATCTATCTATATTTTCATATCTGTCTGTGTCAGTCTATCTATCCATCACTGTCTATTCATATTTATCTATCTATCTAAGTTCATATCTGTCTGTGTCAGTCTATATATCCCTCTCTGTCTATTCATATCTATCTATCTATCTATCTATCTATCTGTCTGTCTGTCTGTCTGTCTGTTTTATATTTCTATTGTTATCTATCCACCTATCTGTCGATCGATCATCGAGCAAATAGTACAACTGTTATCGGCTCAGAAATCCGAATCTTTGATCCGAGTTCAACTTTTCTCTGCGTCTGTTGTGTTGACTTCGCTATGACTGTCTTTGAGAAAGGCATGAATCTTTCTCTTCCCCATCGAAACTAAGCATAAAATAGTTGGGTATACTGAGCTAGGTGACCTTGCGTGGCAACCAATCTAAGAGTCTATCTATATATATATATTTCTTTTACACTCTCTCTGTTTCTCCTGTTTTCTCATCACCTACTCTATTTTCCCATCTATCTATGTTTGTCCAATTTCTTTGTTTTTTGACTTTCACTCACTCTTTTTCCCTTTCAAATTTTCTCACTTTTTCTCTCATTTTTCTCATCACTCACTCTATTTTCTCCTCTCTCTGTGTCTAACTCTGTTTTTTCAATTATTTGCTCGCTTCTCATTTGGCTAAACTATTTTTATATCTGTCATTTTCTACATATGAATGACAAACATATATAAAATAAATAACAATCAACAAAGGATTATTAAATTAAGAATGAAATAAAACATAAGATGAGATATAGGATTATTTTAGGACAACGTCCTTCCTTACCTTTAAAGACAATAAGACAAACGGAGGAGAGAGCCAAGAAGAAAATGGAAAAAAAAAAGAGGGAAGATTGAATTGGAAGAAGATATGAGAAAGAGAAGGGGAAAAAGAAAGACAATAAAACGTGAACAGAAAGAGGAATCACAGTGGCTTGGAAAAGGAATAAGCAGATGAAAATCGTTGAGAAACCGGTGGTTGGGGGGGGGGCATGTTGATGCTGAATGAAAAAGGAAGCAAAACAAAACAAACGTGTGAGAAGGAGGAACATAAAAGGAAAGCGATAATAATGATAATGATAATAATAATAATAATAATAATAATAATAAGAAGAAGAAGAAGAAGAAGAAGTATGATTTCTGAAGGAAAAAAGAAAGAAAAAATTTAAATGAGCGAAAATCGAAAGCTGCCATAAAAGAAAAAACAAACCACGCAAAACTCAGTTCCCATACACACGCCTAAAGAAATATAAACAAAGAATGAGAGAGATTAATTACAAACTGAAAAAGAAAGAAAGAAAGAAAGAAAGAAAGAAAAAAAGAAAGAAAGAAAGAAAGGTGATAACTTCTGAAACCAGAATACACACACACACATACACTCACGAAATTTACCACCGATACCAGATATACAAATCTAAGTAAAAGCAAGTATTTCGAATGCTGATTTTATAAGCTTGAGGCAACTGGCTTGAAGAAAGTGTTAGAGAAGGGTGTGCAAAGAAAGAAAGAAAGAAAGAAAGAAAGAAAGAAAGAAAGAAAGAAAGAAAGAAAGAGCAATGTGGACGAAAGGAATGAAGGAAACAAAAAGAAATAAAAAAGAAGCAAAGACAAAGAAAGGAAGAAAGAAAGGAAAGAAAAAAAGAAGGAAAGAAAAGCGCAAAAAGAAAGAAATAAGAAAAATCAAACAGAACGAAAGGAAGGAAGGAAGGAAGGAAGGAAGGAAGGAAGGAAGGAAGGAAGGAAGGAAGGAAGGAAAAAGCAAAGAGAAAGAAAAAACGGAAGTAAAGAAGAAAAGAGAAAGGAAGGAAGGAAGCAAAGGCGAAGAAAAGAAGGTAGAAAATAAAGTAAAAAGAAAAAAGTGGAAAGTAAAGAAGATATTAAAAAAAGATCAAAACTCGAAAGTGCTAAGAAAAAGCAAAATATAAAGATAACACGTCCCAACCACCTAAGCCGCCGTCACCTCCGCCTCCTCCGCCGCCATGTAGTCAAAGAAGGCAGAGGCGAGTGCAGAGGAAAGGGCAGAGGAGAAGCAGAAGAAAGAGGGTAATGTTGTCGCCTCAACAACTGTCTCCTGTTTCACTGGAACAACGACAAGTGAATGAAACGTAGGAAGGTGAGTAAGAAAGGAGTCACTAGAAGTGGAGTGAGCGGGAGGGGTGGCGCATAAATGGGCTTGCTCTATGGTCGGGGGAGTTCAGTTGATCCGAGGCACGGACAAAAAAACTCCACTCGCCATTGAGGAAGGTTGAACCCTGTGCAGGCATCTTTCAGAAAAAGAAAACATTCATTTTATGAATCTACTTTGTTAAAGTACAGGTGAGTTTCCATCGTTTTATTCGCCTCGAATCAACTTTTAGCTCCTTTTAGTTATTCAAACGACTAAACGTTCCAAAAGTAAGGTTGGCAGTTGGCACACAAACATGTGCAAACAGTGATATTTTCATGGGGAGGCCTATTTCCTACGTTTGTGTTAATATGGAAAAGGGTCACGACTGGTGGCCGGAGGGGACATCCATTGATGAACTGAGTAACAATGACTGACAATATTTCTATCTATCTATCTATCTATCTATCTATCTATCTATCTATCTATCTATCTATATCTATCTAATAGGCCTTCTTGCTGAGTTATGCGCCAGCGCCAATTGTTGGTATTCAAGCCAAAGTAAAAAAAAAAAAAAAAAAAGAGAATTTCAAATGCTGATTCTTTCGTTAGTCCCCTCCACTTGGATCATTGATTCAACACCATTTTTGACATCCGTCCATTATGACCTTGTGCCAGATTGGGTTGCAAAACACAAACACGCAGATACATAGATAGATAGAGAAAGAGAGATAATCTATGTTCATATATATATATATATATATATATATATATATATGTGTGTGTGTGTGTGTGTGTGTGTGTGTGTGTGTGTGTGTGTGTAATATATTATGTATATTATTATTTACATATTTTATATGGTACTTATTAGAAAGCGCTCAATATCAAAGATAGAGCTAACGCAAAAGCGTGAAACCCTGGGTCACAAACTCACATCAATCCAACCAAATATATATATATATATATATATATATATATATATATATATATATATATATATATATATATATACACACACACACATATATATATATATATATATATATATATATATATATATATACACACACACATATATATATATATATGTGAGCCAACCAAATATGTTAGCTCTATCTCTGATATTGAGCGCTTTCTAATAAGTACCCTAAGTATATAATATATAAATAATTATACACATATATATTTATTTATATTTATATACACTTTTCATATATATATATATATATATATATATATATAGAGAGAGAGAGAGAGAGAGAGAGAGAGAGAGAGAGAGAGCGAGGATAGTGATGTATTTATATATAACTTAGATTAATTATAAACTATGTAATTACTAAAACAGAAACGTATACATCAATTTCGATGTTTAGATTATGTTCATAGCATTTACACTCTTTTTTATTCATCCTATAATTTATGCAGTTTAAAAACCATTATTTTAATGTTTTTTCGATTTTTAAGCAAATAAAATGTTGTGCAAGAAAGAGGCTTCCGTATCTGCCGATTGCATAACGCGCAATTAAGATTTAAAAGAATCAAATCCTTCTATGCGCGTTTTTTCTGAATTATTAAAATACAATTATTATATAAAAACAATAATTCAAATGTTTCTGATGAGTATAAATAGAAAAAAACAGACTTTTTAATTTTAAAATCGATTAAAACGTTCTAAAAAATCTAAAATCGATATTATTTTAAACTGTAAGTCTACGATTTCTTCTGATATCTAAAAGAAAAAAGGTTTCATAAAAAATTAATAATTTCTTCTATATTGCAGAATTATGTTTTTTATAAAATTAAACTAATTCTTTTTAAAAGAATTGTTTTAATTTTTTGCGTAATTAAATCCAACTTATGTAGTGGTTACTTTTCGTAAATACTTTCTATATTCAATGAGTAAATAATTAAATTATTTGAATGCCATTAAGCATTTTTGGAGTATTAATATTGCAGATTTTAAAATATAAATAACTCAGTTTATATATAATGAAAATATCAAGTAGCGACTTGATAGAACAGAGATGTTTTTTGTTTTACCGACGAATATCGTTGATAGAACATGTGAGAATTGATGACGTCTTAAGGAGAATACGAACAATGAGGAAACTGATTTTTACAATCAGAAAAAAAACTGTTTAAATTTCTAGAACACAAAAGAAAAAGAGGGTCTGGAGTATATAACATTCACAAATCGTAGAGACAAGAGAGACAGGTGAAGGCAACAACGAGTTTATTTAATGTGTTTTTGAGAATGGATAACAAGAAGAAGAGACAAAGAGGAAGTTTTAAAGAGTCAAAAGTTACTTAGAGCAACAAGAGAGGAAGTTGTGGACAGCCATAATAACCCAGGTCCTGAATTGGCATGGTGCAGAAAAGAAAAATTAAATAATATTTTATCTGAATCTTGTTTTTAATGATATAAAGTTTATGAAAATTTATTAAATCTTTTTCTATGTCACTGAACAGCCTTTTTTTATCGGGAGTTGTCCAAATTTGCAACATCCAAGGCCAGACTTACAAAAAGCATTCCCAGTCAAAGAGAATTCCAAAGACATGAGATGCGGGTTCAAATCTCATCGGAAGTTTTATTTCCGATCCATATTGTTTGCTTAACAGTCAAATCGTCATAGAATAATGAACGTACTGAAAATAGCGACAAAAAGCAACAGCCATAAGATTAAAGAAAGATGAAAATGTATAAATTCACTTTCATATGTTTAGGGTGTATTACAATTCTAAAAATCGCTTTTTAAAAGAATAAACATTGTCGATGACTGAAGGTCGTCAAAATAATAGCGGTGTCACGGGAAAAAAACCGTTATTGAAACTCACCTTTTCTTTTTCGGACACGAAGGTTCCCGTCTTCTGAGGCCTTCATAACTTTGCGAATATTTCTTTCCATTTTCTCACATGCAGAATATATTTTGGTTATCAACACATTCATTGGGATTCATTTCGTGATTTTCTTCACGATAGCCTCTCACATGTTTGGTTCTAGAGATTACTGGCGAGGGAGTTCACTGAACAAGAGTAAACCCTCAGTCCCTCCTCTGACTTCAATCAATTTGAAGTATTGTCATCTACTACAGATAAAGCAGATTGCTTTGCTCGAAAATGCTCTTCCATCTCCACTCTTGACTCATCGGGAATATCTCTGCCTGATCTCCCCCCCCCCCCGACCCTAGAACAGAATCTCTACTGAGTGATATGTACATAACTCCGTCTATGGTATCTGATATCATTTCTAAGCTAAATTCCCACAGGGCATGCAGATTCGACGACATCCCTGAAATTGTTCTAAAGAAATGTGCTCTTGAACTGGCTCCTGTTCTCTCTAAACTTTACAATAAACGCCTCGTTTTGCTTTCCAGCTTATTAGAAGTACTTCTCTGTACTTCTTGTTTTTAAGAACTTCTGGGGAACCCCTTAAATTATTGCCCTTCTTTTTGGCAAAGCACTAAAAATTCTAATTAATGCCGAATTGCTTAAATATCT